GTGTGATGACTCAATTATTCCAGAAGTGCCTCATCAAATCTGCCCCATCAGCTGGGCTAATAAATAAGGAGAAGAAACTGGCCCCCCAAAGCAAATTATAAATCCATTTGCATTAACCATTTCGCTGGTCCATGATCTAGGCAGAAATAAGCATGGCAGATTGTGTTAAGCTTATTTGAATATGTTTATAATGTTTACAGCATGCAACCCTTTTTTTTTTTTTTTAACAAGGTGTTGGAATTATCGGTCATGAATAGCATCTAAATGCAGTTATGTTAATTACAGCAAAGCCTCAGGCATCTTTGAGGGATAGTTTGTTGCTTAAATCAGGTGAAAGTTAAACCCTTCTGCTGGGCAAAATACGATCTTGCACATGGCATTCTAATTAATTCCATGTTTAAAAAAGAGGATGAGTGCAAGGGATGTATTTTCACAGGTACTGGAAGGACAACTGCCTGTGTTACAAGGCTGTCTTATACTGGTAAGGTGACCTCCTGCTCATCTCAGGGCAGAACCAAGTAAGATAAAGTGTAGCCTTATTGGTGGGAAAGAAAATGCAATAGTTGAAGCAGCAATAATTCTGTTTCATGTGTACTATGCACTTCATAAAACAAGTGCAGAGAGGAGTACTCTGCCCCAATGAAATTCCTTTCTGAAACTCAAATGATATAAAAACTATGTTTGCAAGTAGAACTCCTTCAGATTTCCAAGACTGCCCAAGTGTACTGCAATGAGGGTCTTAAAGTGAAGCATAGGAAGAAAAAATGAAATTCATTTGTTTACTCATGTGCTGAATATTACATGTGCACTTAAAGGTCTCATTGAGGTCACTGATAAATTTGTGCAGAACTTAACATGTAAAGTTACATACTTCAGCCTGTGCAGGGTAAAGATCAGAAGTCAAGAGGTCAATACATATTTACTCATTTGAAATGACATCTTTTACTTTCACATAAAGATCAGAAGTCAAGAGGTCAATACATATTCACTAATTTGAAATGGCATCTTTCACTTTCAAATATTTTTTCTCTCAAATAGTAAGTATGTTGCATCATTTTACCTTGAGAAACAGAAATCACTGTCACTGCAGAAACATGAAAAATATTCAGGAATCATAATGGTGAGCACATCAGATTTTGTTTCCTTAGATGCTATTTCCATTCTGAGTTTACAAATCACAAACTGTTGTGATAGTTCATTTTCATATTTGCAATATATCAACTAGTGATGTTGTAAGTTCATATTTGCAATATATCAACTAGTGATGTAAATGAGAGAAAATCAAATTCATTTGTTGGAAATTATATTCATTATGCTCAAAAAAAGTTCTTAGTGGTCTTTTTCAGATGTAGTAGAGCCTTGTGTATTGCAATTCTAACAGAGAAAACACCCTCAGACTTCTGGTGAGATAATTTTTACCTGTGGAATGTGTCTTTTTTCATTATTAAATCCTGAGGACCTCTCTGATAATCTAAGATGAATGAGTGGACTTTTACCTATAGACAATGGGTCAACAAGAATGGTCCCTTGAAGGATTTTGCAACACACATCTGATGTGGAGGATAGGGGCCCAAGGAGTGATTCACGTCAGTATCCCAATATGACTCATGGATCTCAGTAGGATGGCACTTCAGAGTCAGTACAAAAATCATGTTGCACTGGAAATGGCTCTAAACCAAAGAATGAATTGCAAAGGTTCCAAGTGACTTCAGTAAACCATTACATTGACAAATCAAGCAACTCATCTATTCCATCTTCGTGGGTTTGTAAGGTTTATTCTAGTTGAACTGAGGTGCTGGTTGAAAAGGGTGGAGGTTTTCTTTGTAGGCAGGCAAATTCACCTTCAGGATTACAAAATTATCTTCAGATATATAGGGAGTTGAACTGTAGGCATAATTTACCATCTTGAAATCCTTTTGAGTTCTTTACTAAAACAAACAAATGAGTTAATAGGAGGCATGAATAGATTGGACCAAATGAAGATAATATGTGTGTGGATTTAAGAGGAGTGATCCCACTAACCTTGGCTGACAAATAAGTTAGTTCTACCTGATTTCCATTAACCATGATCTTATCATCAAAGTCACCTATATAGATGTTCTTTATGGACTCTTGAGGTTGAGATCTTTATTTTTCTCTTTGACATTGCAGACTTTTATCTGCCCTTCTTGCAATGCCTCAAAATTTGGCCCATGACTAATTTTACAATTTATAAAATATACTAAAATAAATTATCAGTAAATTATTGTGTAACATCTCAGTGTCACTGTGAAATCAGTACTAACTCTCGTTTGATACCTGAAGTATCAGATCCCAACACTCATATTTGAAATTTGCTTCTTGGAGTGTGGACAGGGGTGACGCATAGCTTATATTCCATCAGGGGTATGTCACATCCCATGACACAGCATAATCCTACACACCCTGTTTATAACATGACAGATGCATGACATTGTATTAGACTTTTTATGAAATACCGCGTCTTCAAATGTGGGTACTCACCCACGAATCAGCTGTATGGCAGCCAGCACTGTTACGTGAAAGAAATGGAAAACAGCACATTTAAACTTACTAACCAGTAATTTCTGTTGTAATTAAGCACTGAAGAGGGGTTCAGGTTTTGTGCTTTATATAAAGTCTTGCTTTTGTCCTACTATAACGCTCTTGCTTTACAAAGATAGCTGATGGTGTCACATGCAAGGCAGATGGGAATAAAACAGCAAATGGCACTGCTGCATGTAGTTTTCCAGTACAACTTTAAAGCCTCCCTCCCAGACCTGACCCAGCCCAGACTCCTTTTCTTAAAAAGAGGATTTTTCAATGTATTAGCTTATTATGTAAAGTTAAATGTGAAAAGTTTTCTATATTTTCCTGTCCTTTGTGCACTTTTCCGAGTGGATCTCAGCTGTGCCGTCTTAACTCCCAGTCCCTTAGGATGAGAGAGACAGCAGATGGGGTTAGGGCAGAGGGCTGATGCTTCTGACAGCAAACGGCCTGGTTGTTGAGTGGAAGCTGTGAGCGTCAGGAAGCTCCTTTTCCCCAGAGAACCAACTAACCACTGAAGAAAGTTGAAAATGAGCCCTTTGAGAAACGCTATTAAAAGTAGTAAAAAATTGCAATTGTGCAGATGATGTGCTGCTGTGTGGTTATTCGGATGCTAATGAGTTTGACATTAGGGAACTCAAAGGGTTTACAGCTACTCCCTTATGTGATTTAGTCCTTTATTGGCAATCTTTGAGAAAATAAATGAAAAATATACTGCTAATAAATACATAACATGATAGGATTTCAGGCAAAAAGCTGCTAAGTTTTAGCCTTTAGAAAGTGCTTTGTTCACGATTGTAGTTATTTTCGGAGATCTTTTGTTTTAGGTTAGTGTGTTTTGAACAAAGAGGAAGAAGCAGGTAGAAAGCTTGAAGACTCCTTTTGTATTTTTTCATGGATGTTGAAATAGAATAACAGAGAAAGAGGCCTTTGAGGATAAATAACATCTTTTTCCAGCAACATATTGGCTAGAAAAATGCTTAAAAATCTTTTTGGTATTGGGCTGTTTTGTTCTGAGTTTTCTCCCTTCTTTATCATCTTGCATCTGTTGTCTGTTTTGTTATTTGATAAAAGCTTCTTAATTTTAATTAAAAGTTATTGATGGGATGCAACTAATATTCTATCTATTGGGACTCAAGCAGAAATTAGTCACTCAGTAAACTCTGGCTTCCGTGAGAATCTGTTTAAAATGAGCCTTTCCAATTTCAGAAATGTAACATTACAAATTTTACTGACAAACCTTCATCAGGTATCATTAAATTAAGAGTTAAAGTTTCACCTTCAAGCTCCAAAAGTTTATCTGCAAACTTTGTCATAATTGGAATATGTCAAATGAATAGGTATATTTTGATAAATACACTGGATACTATTTGAAAAGAACTTCTGAAGTTGCAAGTGACAGTAAAAATGTTATGTTTGGTCACTGGTGGCAGGAGTAATGCTAAAATAAAGTCTGCCTATAACGACTGTTCATGGCCAGTTTTTCCCAGCCTGCAAGTGCCTACAACTTTAAGTGTTCAAAGGGTTCAGTTATTTATTGTTTTCTGAATACAAGGCCCTCAGTATTACTCAGATATAAACTTCTGCAGCTCTTCTCTCACTATTACTGTTGCTTTAGCAGGAGTTTCCTCACAGAACGGAATAAAAATTGAGCATGGAGAAATGTCAAGGATGTCTTTCAGTTTGCTTACACTGATAATATTATCAATCTTGCAAACTTTAAACCCTGATATTCAAAATATAAAAAAAATAAAACCAAGAGTTTTTCTGCTATTATTAAAATATTTTAGAATGCTTCTCATTTATTTCACAGCATGTACTGAACTGTCCTACTCGGTCAAAGGGTTTCTGATGTAGTGAAAACATTTCACTAAGAATTTCTACATTTAGAAACTGTGGATTTTTGTCTGTGCAAGAAGAAAAACTTTTCTTGTAGCAGGTCTATTTCATAAACTATTGGAAAGGTCATTAACAATAGAAAGAAAGTACAATAACAAAAGAAATTTTGGTATTCCTACTGCCTTTTAGGAACATTGTCGATGCCTCTATACCATATCTTTGAAAAAAAGCACAAGAAAACAATGCACCTGGATTATTTTCCCATTTTATTTAAACACTTTCCTGTTTCATCAACATTTTATTTTTATTTAGTATAGCTGATTTTTGCTTTTTTTTTTTTTTTTTTTTTTTTTTTTTCAAAAAAAAAAATTTAGAGTTTTTTTTTTAATGATTTTTTGGCTGCGCGGAGGAGCGCTGGAGCTGCCCCAACACTTCTTGTTGTTAAAGTGCCTCAGCCCTTTCTGAGCTCCTC